TGCGAATGCGCCTGTGTTTGCCCTCACAGGTCTAGCTTCCATCCATACTGATTGGCAGGGCAAGATGCCAGCCGTTCAGAGCATGGTCATCCAGGGGGATGGGCAAAGCACTGGCTGTGCTTGGGTGCAGCCTTCCTCAGCCTTTGGTGTTGCACATGCGGACCATGGACAGGTCGCAGTGCTGAGTTGGATGAGAAATAAAGAGCCACCAGCTTCACAACCCACTGATGTCTGTGTCTAGTTTTCCCTAATTCTCTCCCATCTGCACAAAGTGAACGCATCTTATTGACCCAACTTCTCCATGCCGTGCTTGAGTGTTACGCAACAGCTTGTTCAGCTGCTGAAAACAGAGTGCTGAGTGACTCATGCCTGGTATTTGAGGGAAGGAATGTTTTTGTACGTCTTCAGAGCAGCATTTCCTCACTGTGTCTCTTGCACAGTAATACATGGCGGAGTCCTCAGGCTTCAGGTCACGGACTTGCAGGAACACCTGGCCCTTGGAGGTGTCCCTCGAGATGGTGAGCCGGTTCTTCAGAGCACTGTTATAGTACAGAGCACCATTGTTCCAAACAGCTCCTGCCCACTCCAGTCCCTTTCCTGGGGGCTGGCGGACCCAGTGCATGCTCCAGCTTGTGAGAGAAAACCCAGACACCACACAGGTCAGCTGCACGGTGTCTCCCGGCCTCTTCACTCCACCTCCCGACTCCGTGAGGGTGATCTGAGAAGAAACACCTGCAATCATGGAAAAAGGAGACAAACACACAATGATGAGAAAAAGCAGAGGCAACTGCTGGAGCATCCTCATCCAGGAAGAACATGTGGTTATCATCGCAAGCATTAGTGCTGCTATAATTACATGAAGGGAAGATCATCAGGAGACTTATCAGGAGCTTCAGTGCCATGACCAGATACGATTTAGGGAGCCTCGCAAACCCTCTTCAGAACCTGGGTGCATCAAGGGTGTTGAATTGGGCTTCCTCCACAGGACACTTAATGAAGGCTGCTCCTGAAAGTCATTTGCATAATGCCGTCAGGCGTGCAGACATATGAAAGGAGCAGGGGCTCAAATTCCACCTCATGTTCTCTGCAGGGCATTCCTCTTTGCAGTGTTGGGTGTTCCTGAAGATGCTGGTTTTATGCAAGGAGATGGGGATATAGAGAGGAATGCCCAGTCTCTGTGGGTGACATTCCAAGGCTTCTGCTCAATGATGCTGCAAGTTTTATTCAGAAAAATAATATCTTAATAGTAATATTAATAATTCTGCAAAATTCAGGACCAATATTCCTGTCCTTTGAATTGTTTTATTGCCAGTCAGACTTTAACCCTCTTCTTGGGGAACGATTGTTGACCTGAAACGTTTCGGCCCCTGGTCCCTTTTGGGGAGATCTTGCAGCACTTGGCAAGCAAGAGAGAAGTGCAAGTTTTCAGTATGCCTTCTTCCCAACATTGCAAGGGTCTGGGCATGTCCAGCCCTGACAGAGGGGATTATGAGGGGACATGAGAGCACTCTAGAAGTACCTGAAAGGCTGCCTCAAGGAGGAGGAACAAAGTCTCTTCTCACTCATCCCTGAGTGTAGGACATGGAACACTAAACTTAAAGTACAGCTCACCATATTCAGGCTAGACATCATGAAGGACATCCGCACT